ACCTAGAGCTAGATAGTCAAGACCATGATGGCCATGATTGTGAACTTCACCAGCAACCTATGTCTTTGCATTTCAAGAATAACAACAAGGCAGCTCTGTACCTTTATTCTAACACTCTCGACTTCCAAGTTAGTGAAATGGAACTCAAATACTACTAGGCGGGTATGGCAGATACAATAAGTATACTTTTTTGTCCCTTAGAGGCCTATTGGCAAGAAAATTCAATTGTGTATGATAGCAAGTAGTGCAGCAAGTCAGAAGTACTGGTGTCCAGTACTCTTCAAAAGCCTGGATTTCACCTCTGGAGCCTGCTTGAGCATCACAGGTCTTGTGTCTCAGCTACTGTCCATCTTGTGAACACTGGCTTTGCCTGTCGGTGCTGCAGTATCTACTCAAGGCTTTTGTCACAGTGACCCAAATGGCTTCTCATTTTGAACTCTCAACAGCAATCTTCCAAACAACTTGCTGTTGGTCATGAAAGAATACCTGGATGTAAGAACCAAGAAAGCCTGGTGTATGCTATGACAGTGCCTCCTTGCTGGACTCAACACTGCTGGTGTATTGTTTAGAGTAAGCGTACATTGGACTGTGGTTATTCTGAAAAGGTTTAGAATGGGAAACAGGGAATGTTGATGCAGCTCCACTTTCAGGTTTTGCCTCCTTGAGGGAGTAGTCATTGTGAACTGTCTGTTCAGAACTAAACCTGCTCCTTGTCTTTTAAACTCTAGGAAATTCTCACAGTTAGGCATCATGCCTGTTTGTTATTCTTTACTAGAAGAGGTTATTTTTCTAGCCTTCTCTAGTAGCTTTTCTAGCTCTCTAGAACTCCTCCTGTGTCCTTGCTGCTCGTCCTTTTTCCCTTTCTCTGAAAGAATAAGTGAGGTCTTCTGTTGTATAATCAAAACTTGTAGATTTTCAGCTGGGTAAAGCAATATGCCTGTACTCCCAGCACTGGAGAGGTGAGGCAGGAGGCTCAGAAAGAAGTTAAAGGCCAACCTCTGCTATGTAAGGAGTTTGAGGGCCAACCGGAGCCATGTGAGAACCCTGCCCCCACACTGAAAGGGCCTTATAATTTTTTGGAGGGTTTCGTTGTCATTTTTGTTTTTCTTGGTTTTCGAGACAGGGTTTCACTGTGTAGCCCTGACTGTCCTGGAACTCACTGTGTGGACTGGGCTGGCTCCAAATTCTGCCTCCCAGGTTTTGGGATTAAAGGCATGCTCCACCACCTCCCAGCTATGGACCTTATAATTTTAAAAAAGTACAACTAGTACTAGAATCTCTGGTTGAGGTGAGAGTTTTGAGGGCTTTGCTAGACACAGTAGGAAGGATTGGAAACCAGGTTTCTATATAAGCAAGTGCAGGTTTTTTTCAGTCTTAGGTTGCTCCCCTTAAAAGACTGGATTCCTAGAACTAAACCTGCTCCTTGTATTTCAAACTCTAGGAGACTCTAACAGTCCTTTGGCAGTTGGCAGATTAGAAGAAGGAGGGAACTGGGGAGATAATTCAGTAGGTAAAGCATTTGCCAGAGTTCAGATCTACCACCACCCACATAAAGGAAGCAAGCATAGAGTTTGTAATTGCTTAGAAGACATGACAACCAGCCCCACCCTCCCAGAGCAAGCTACACTACATTAGCTGTATTGGTGAGTTTGGTTTCAAGTGAGTGACTTTGCTGAGTTCGGTATATAAGGTAGAGTTTAAGGAAGAGCCAGGTGTCTCCCTCTAGCCTACACATACATGCATATGAAAGAGAAAAAAAAAAACACTTTCCTGAAAAGTGGTCACTGACTAGATAACTTTTACACATAATCATCTTGGTTATGCAACATGTGAACAGGCCAAGGAATCACAAGTCATGCTCAAGAACCTAGCAGAAGCAAGTGTAAAGCTCTAGAAGAGATCATATTTACTCTAGCCCCAGCAAATTGGTCCTTTACAAATGATTTTAAAAGACAGAAAAGGCCACAAACAACCAGGGTAAGCAAGAGAACAAGGCAACAGAGAGACACACCTACATGGAAAAGATGAAGTAGAAATATGTAGTAGAAAAAACTAGAAAGCCAGTTAACAGGTTTGAACAATGATTGCAGAGATCAGTGAATTCTACACAAAATGAGAACAGATTTAAGAGAAAAATTCTAGCTAAAAACAAAATTATAATCTCAGTGAATGTTTTGGCAACAGATTGGATTTAACAAAAGAGAGGTGAGAATCTAAAAATAAACCATTTTAATGTTTTGTTGAGAAGAGACAGAAAGAGAAAATAGAGATTATATTAGAGAAAGAAGGGTATGGGAAAACATACAAATAGAAGAGAGAATATTGGAGAGTTTTCAATATCAAACAGGAATAATAAAAAAACCTAGACACAGAAAAAAAATGATTAAAAAAAATAAAGGGGCTGGAGAGATGGCTCAGTGGTTAAGAGCACTGATTGTTATTCCAGAGGGCCTGGGTTCAATTCCCAGTACCCACATGGCAGCTCAGAACTGTCTGTAATTCCAGTTCCAAGGCACCTGACATCCACAGCAAACACCAATGCACATAAAATAAAAATAAAGAAAGAAAAAAAAGAAATGTCAGAACCCTGCGGGGTGTTGTCCTAAGAAATGCAACTGCCATTCTAAATTGTTCCATATAATGAGCTCAATAGTGAAAAATGAAGGATGGAAATATCGCTTCATTGGTAAAGGGCTTGCCTAGCATACAGGAAGTTCTGGGTTTAATCACCAGTGCTGCATAAAACCAGGCATGGTGACCTACTGTGTAATCCCAGCACTCAGGAGGCAGAGGCAAGAATACAGGATCAGGATACAGGAGGTTCAGGTATCTCAAAAAGATAAAGTGATGCCCCTGCCTTAGCCTTCTGAGTGCTTGGTGTATGGGTCTGCAACCATGTATGTACTCCATGAGACACTGCCTCAAAAATAAAGTGAAGATGTTTTCAGATGGATACTTTTTTTTTTTTAATTTCATCAAATCATCACTAGACAATTTTAAGAATGGCCTTCATCGGGCAGAATTAAGCACAAATAGGTTTCATATTTAAGAGCAGGGGCCAGGCAGTGGCAGCTCATGCCTTTGATTCCAGCACTCAGGAGGCAGAGGCAGGCGAATTTTTCTAAGTTCACAGCCAGCCTGGTCTACAGAGTGAGTTCCAGTACAGCCAACGCTACATAGAGAAACCCTATCTCTAACCCACCTCCACCCCATCCCCCCCAAAACTCACCAGATGGATGAAGAAATGTGAGTATTACTTACACAACAGAGCAGTAATATCTATAGGCCTAATCATACAAAATACCAGAAATTTCTTCCAGAATTGAGGCAGGTAGGACAGGGAGTTAAAGCTGTTGGCCCTCTCTGTATTATGTAGGAAGTAGTAAAGGTTGATTAGACTTGGTAAGTTACATCCTGCCCGAGGGAGAAGGAGTTGCTAGGGACAGAACCCAGGCTTTGTCCATGCTAGGCATTTGATTTACTGCTCAGCTACTATTGAGCTACACCCCACCTGAGCGTATATGTAATGACTAAGATAACCAGTAAAAACAATAGGAAGTATATAATTTCCAACCCGGTAGAGCAGGGAAATTTGAAGCATACATATGTGCATTAATTCCTTCTGCAAGAGCATTTTCAGCAGCATAGTTTATACTGCCCTCACAAGGGAATAGGTTATTAATATTCAGTAACAATGAAAATAAACTAATGATATATAACAACATAGCTATGTCTACAGTGTCTGAAGGAACAAGCCCCAAGAATAAATACAGTATATGAATATGTGTGAATATGTAATTCAACTTTACATATAAAGCTTATAGCTAGACAACACTAAACTGTTTTTTGTGGGGTTTTTGTTTTTTGTTTTTTGTTTTGGTGCAAGTTAACCAAGATACTAAATTGTATTTTTTTAATGGATTGACAAGCTTTCCCATTAATATCAAATAGTAAATAGCTCAGACATAGGTGCCATATAGTCGCTAGCATAATCACAGCCAACCTTGTCACTGTGTTGAGTGGGACAAAAGCCCATGACAGTCAGTGGCAGCATGTTTGGTAAAGATGTTGATAAAAAGATTACTTTTAAAGGGTGGGGAGGCCAGATGACAACCATAAAAAAGACTGGCTGTTGGAGGAAGGAAGGTTCCTGATCAATGGGGACCTGTAGAATGTGGGTACTGGTGTGGAGGCCACCTAGGTGTTCACTTAGTGTCTTTTTAGTTTGTTCCAGTATTACTTATTCTGTGTGTGGGTGTGTTGCCTGCTTGTGCCTCTGTACCACCTCTGTTCTGCTGCACTCAGAGGCCAGAAAAGGTTGTCTGATGTCCCGGAACTGGAGGTAGAGACAGTTGTGAGCCATCATGTGAGTGTTGGAAATTGAACCCAGGTCTTCTGTGCTCTTAACTGCTGAGCCATCTCTCAGTCTGTCTAGACCCTTGTCTTTTAAATTTTCTGTAAAAATTGTGTGTGACAATAAAGTAACCCTTAAAAGATATAAATTATCAAATGCTTTCTTAAATAATGGTTAAGTATCATTTAATTTTATGTGGATATCAGTTTGCATTTAAATTGTTCTGCTTATTTTCCCAAGGTTCCTATTAAATATACCTGAAATATACCTGAATTTAAATATTAAAACAAAGCTGCATTTATTAAATCACCTTGCTGGCTTAGAACACACATTTAATCAAAAATAAAATATAAGCATTACTACTTTTTTTTTCTCCCCCGAGACAGGGTTTCTCTGTGCAGTTTTGGTGCCTGTCCTGGATATCTCTCTGTAGACCAGGCTGGCCTTGAACTCAGAGATCCACCTGCCTCTGCCTCCCAATGCTGGGATTAAAGGCGTGTGCCACCACCGCCCTGCCACATTACTACTTTTTAATAGGATTCAGCATTAGATAAGTTAGAGGATTATATCTGTGACTTGCAGTTAACATCTTGGCTTATTTGCACCAGGCATTAACAAGTGTCCCTCTTAAAAACCCTTTTCGCAGGCTCAGTAGATGAAGGAGTTACAGAGGGGTTGCCTACACTTCAGAGCACTTCGAGCACCAATGCTCATGCAGATGATGACGACAGGTTAGTACCAACATAGTGTGTCCTTTTCTCATGAAGATTGTGCTTATGGCTCTACATTCAAACTTGTGTGAGAAATTTATTGAGACTTTACAGTTTTGTTCATTACCAAAAATTGCCTGGACCCCTTACCTTATGTAGAATGATTGCTTTCTTGTTTGCTACAGTTTGCTTCTGAGAACTGTACATTATCCTTTTTCCCTCATCACTTCTCACTTTGTCTCTCTGTATTTAATCTTTTAAGTCCTTTCAACTCTCTTTTCCGAATCCTTAGTTGACTTCCTCTGTACTACAGCCGTGTTGGTTTTAGTCACCACTGTATTTCTCCTGACTACCACAGTAGTCTTGAAATTGACCCCTGATTGCATTCTTCCATTTCTTAAGTCCAGTCTCCATGTACTACCAAATCATTTCATTTCGTTTTTAACTAAGATGTCACGATTTTTACTTAAACTCTAAATTATTGCTGGGTGATGGTGGGACACACCTTGAATCCCAGGAGGGATTAAAGGCAGAGGCAGGCAGATCTCTGTGAGTTTCAGGAGAGCCAGGACTACATGGAGAAACAAAAATAAATCAATCTAAATTCCTTGCTGTTTATAAAGTCCTACATGATTCAGGTTTACCTAGCCCCCATCAGTTCTTAAAACTTTCCATATTGTTCCTACCTATTTCATAACCTTTGCTTAAAGTGTTTTCTCCTCTGATTTCCACTCTTTTGACACTTCATTTTTTTTTTTTAAATAATTTTTTGTATATGGGTGTTTTGCCTGCCTGTATTATTGTATACTACATCTCTGCTGGTACCTGCAGAGGCCAGAAGAGGGCATTAGATCCCCTAGAACTGGGGTTTCACATGGTTGGGAGGTGCCATGTGGGTGCAGGGACTCAAACCCAGGTTCTGGAAGAGCAGCCAGTGCTCCTAACAACTGAGCCATTTCTCCAGTCCCCTTTCTGACTGTGACCTTCAGATGATTGACGTGTCAGTTCCCAAGGAGGCCTTCTCTGACTGCCAGTTTAAACCAGCACCCAATCATTGTTGGATCTTCCTGATTTAATTCTCTACCTTCTGGTCCTTTTCTGATTATTTGCTTGTTCTCAGCACTGAATATAGATTCCACTGAATGAATTATTCCTCATACAGAGTTCAGAACAGTCTTAATACCTATATTTGCTGAAAACTTGAAGGACTCAAAGATTGTCCAGTAGCTAAACCTGGAAGATTATGAACCAAAATCATTTCAGTTAATTAGTAAAGGCATAAATAGGCGCAAGTGTCCTTATTCCTTAATTTTAAATAGTAATCAAGCTGCCTATTCTTTATTAAATACTTTGCTAAGTCATGGGAGTATAGAGATGAAATAGCCTTTTGTCTTGAGAGCTCTGTTGAGTTTTCAGGGAAGAAAAGAGGTTGAAGATAGATAGGGAAGGAGATCACCAAAAGTTATCTGCAGGGAGTTTGTGCTGTGTGTAGGGACTTATCTACTTAAGCAATCATTCGGTGAAGGTTGGCCGGAAGAGGAGACCCTGACTCAGCTACGTTTTATAAATGAGTGGATACTACCTAAGCAAAGGAGATAGGCTTGTAGAGAAAATTCAGTATGGGAAAACATAGCATATGGCAGGCACGTTAGAGGAATTATTTTGCATAAAGTATATTTTGGGGAGTGGGAGTATGATCAGAAATGAGCTAGATATGGGAAAATAGTTCATATATGAGTAGTTTTGAACATATTGTGGGGATTGAGAATTTATTCTGAAGAAAACAGTTGTAGCAAGATTTAAATGGGGGATATGATAAAGGCCTAAATTAAAGCAGCAGAAAGGAGGGAATTCAAGAGATTGAAGGATATCTAAGGTAAAATAGCTTGTGATATATTCTGTGGGGTTTTATATCCGACCTAGAGATGCGGGCATTTTGGACAGTAACGTTGCTTAACAAATTTTTTTAAGTGAAAATCTTTGTAAAAGTCTTTATTTTTCCTCTGTTCATTTAGAATTGGGCTGCAGAGATGTGTATTCAACTTAAAAATCAGAGCCTGGTTGCCTTCTTTGGTTTATTTTTTTAGATTGGAAAATGTTCAGTATCCCTACCAACTCTACATTGCTCCTTCTACCAGCAGTACAGAGCGACCAAGTCCAAATGGTCCCGACAGACCTTTCCAGTGTCCGACCTGTGGGGTTCGATTCACCCGCATTCAGAACCTAAAACAGCACATGCTTATTCACTCAGGTAATGTTACCTTCCGTGTTGATGCATAAGGGGGCATGCCAAAACATTTTACTTTGTGATCCCAATTAAAATAGAATTTGTGCTGGGCATAGTGACACGTGCCTGTAATTCCACCACTCAAGAGACTGAGGCAGGAAGATCCAGAATTTGAGACCAGCCTGGACAAAATAATAGAAAGATTCCATTTAAGAAAAGGGGGGAGGGCACCCAGGGAGCGGGAAAGGGTGAGTGAGATGAAGGCGGTGTATTAGAGAACAGGAAAAAAAAGTTAAAAATCCTGAGAAGTCAGATGAGACCAGTTGGTCTCTTTGAAATGTTGGAAAACATTTACCACAGGTACTAGGTATTCTGATAAAGGCTTAGAAGTAGTATGTGTGGTCAATAAGTTAACAGATACTGGGTATGTTAGGTACGTGTTTATAAATGAGAAAAGTACAAATGCAAATAGAATAAAAACAACTATACATGGATTCTTAAAAGTTTCTCTGTAAGTTTGAATGCTTTGCCAAATAAAAACCCTTAAAGGATTTCACATTTTCTTTTAATTTTGTCAGTCTCTGGTTTTGATTAGTCAGCTTTGTAGTATTTTTTAATAGGAAAAAAGATGTTGGATGGATGTGTAGGCAGTTTTAGTGACACTTGTGCGTAGTGATGACATAAAGGTAAACAGTACAACACTGGCATTAGGGACAGACCTTTGCTGCTGCTTTCAGCTGTGTCTTATTTCTCCTTCTCTAGATAGGTAGGTCTTGGGATCTTATTAAATCCACAGGTGGTTTTACAGAGTTTTAACCTCCCCCTCAGTCGTGATAGTGACTATAATATAGTGACTGTTAATGTACTTTATAATTCCATTATTAAGCCAGGCGTCGTGGTGCATGTGTTTAATCCCAGCACTTGGGAGACAGAGGAAGGTGGATCTCTGTGAGTTTGAGGCCAGCCTGGTCTACAAATCAAGTTCCAGGACAGCCATGGCTGTTACACAGAGAATAAAATGCCCTTATTAATATCTAACAATATTAAACATTCAAAAGCTAATTCACCATGTAATGAGCCTATCATAATCATTACATACAGAGATGATAGAGTTTTTCATTTTTCTTATTTCTGTCTAAAGTAATAACTTAGTTTTCCTGTTGCTGTGATAAAATTCCCTGAGAAAAGCTTTAACTTAAAGGAGAAAGGTTTTATTTGGCTCACAATTCCAGGCTACAGTAAGTCCATCATGGCAAGGAAGTCATAGCAGCAGGAACTTGAGAGAACAGTCATGGATCCAGTGAAAAGCAGAAAGCAGTGACTAATGCATGCATGGGAGTATTCATCTTGACAGTCCAGGATTCCCTGCTCAGGGAAAGATCCCACTGGCAATTAAGCTAGATCTTCCCACATCAATTAGCGTAATAAAGATAAGCCTTCAGAGACATGCCCAGAGGCCCTTCTCCTACAGGAGTCATCACAAACAGGTTTCAGTGTGAACCTCTCTAATGAAGTATATTTTGTTATTGGGGACTTGGGTAGCTAAATGGTATAGTTTACTAGAGGTTTGTGGCTAGAGGTTTGACTCCATGGTAGGACGCTTGCCTAGTGTTCACAAGGCCCTGGAGTGACTCCCCAGCACCACAACAAATACAATTACTAATGTTCTAGTTTCTTTCCATTGCTGTGGTAATACACTCTAACCAAAAGAAACTTAGGGGAGAAAGGGTTTATTTTCTTTTACAGGTCACAGTCCATCATTTAGGGAAATCAGGGCAGGAACCAACAAACCCAGAAACCATAGAGGAGTGCTGCTTGCTGGCTCACTCACAAGCTCTTCCTTCCCAGTTTGCCCTCTGGAGAGGGGTGCTGCCCACAGAGGGCTGGGCTTTCCTCCATCAGTTAGACAGTCCCCCACCGAGATAGATGCAAGCTAACCTGATGTGCAGTTCCTCAACTGGGATTCTGTTCTGATGTGACTGTAACCTGTCGTCGTGCTGACAGGTAAAGCTAACTAGGATGATTCACTTTTGAAGTTTCTGAAGACATGACTTAGAAGAACATTCAGAGACCAATTCAGTACCTATTCCTTACCTGTCTCCTCCCTATCTTCCCTTTTTTTAAGCTCTGGTGACTTGAAATATTCTGGAACACCTCTGAAATATGTTAGAGTCTGTTTTATTGGCAGTTTTTTTTTCAGTTATTGTTATAAAATTGTTATTCAGAAATGTGAGATTTTGTGACCTTTCAGTTTATTTTATTTCTCAGATGGTATTTTGCTATTTTGTTTTATAGGAATTAAACCATTTCAGTGTGACCGCTGTGGAAAAAAGTTCACCAGGGCTTACTCGCTAAAGATGCATCGCCTAAAGCATGAAGGTAAACGCTGTTTCCGGTGCCAGATATGTAGTGCCACTTTCACTTCCTTCGGGGAATATAAACACCATATGAGGGTTTCCCGGCACATTATCCGCAAGCCTCGGATTTACGAGTGCAAAACATGTGGCGCCATGTTCACCAACTCTGGAAATTTAATCGTGCACCTGAGGAGTCTGAACCATGAAGCATCAGAGCTAGCAAACTACTTCCAGAGCAGGTGAGGTGCACAGTGAAAACCCAATCAGGAAAACTGCTTTCTAAACTCTCCTGCGGCTAGGGCAACCTGCTGTTGTATTATCAGGCTGCCAGCAGTTAGTCCCTTCATTTTCAGTTGCCACTGTGCATACATACTCGGATCTCCTGATCTGATGAGATTTTGCTAAAGGTCTCTTAAATGATAAAGTCATATATGTTTTATAGTTGGTATTAAAAATATTTCTGCAAAATAAAGAGTAACAATATCCCCACAGAAGACTATTTGTCCTCTTGGATTTTTTTAAATGAAGTTAAATAAATTTCTATATTGGATCTTAACTAGATCTTACTAGCAGATATACCACGTCAGGTGCATCTTAGTAATGTGCAGCCAGACTCTAGCTGCTAGCCACGTTCTTCAGCACCAACCCTCCTTTTTACTATCTCATATAGCAAGGTGGTGATGGGGGTGCACTCCTTTAATTCCAGCACCCGGGAGGCAGAGGCAGGCGGATCTCTTGAGTTTGAGGCCAGCCTGGTCCACAAAATGTGGTTCAAGGACAGCCAGGGCTACACAGAGAAACTCTGTCTTGAAAAAAGAAAAAGAAAAAAAAAATTAAAATCTTATATGAAAGAATATCCATTTATCAATAAAAACATTGTTGAACTGTTAGCAGGGATATAATTAGATCCAGTAAGTCTCCTGTTTATCTAAGTCCTCCTGTAGATAAAAAAAACTCTATTATGTGTGTTTTTTAATACTTGCTAGGAATTCTACCTCTGTAGAAACCCTTAGTTTCTCAAATATAGAAATCCTTCTAACTTAAAGTTTTTAATTAACCTTCATTTTTAAATCTTTTCAGTTGCACATTATTCATGAATAGATTTTGTTTTTCCCTTCTGATGGGCATTTATTTTATTTAATCACTTCTAACTCTAAATGTGTAGTTACTGTCACTAAAGCAAGATTATACACTTATTAAACGTAGTTGTTTAGGAATAAAATAGTCCAGTTTCACTACTCCCATATAATATAGGGCCCTGTATCTTATACTATTCTTGTCTAATCCATGAAGACTTTTTAGGAAATATAGCACAAGACATTAGAAATTGCTTTGCAGACAAAGAAACAGATTTTATTAATACTGCATGCTCACCTCAAATGTGTGTTATTGACAGGTCTAGTATAATATCCTCCTAAGTTCAGCAATGAAAGTTTTTGGTTTTTTGTTTTGTTTTTCGAGACAGGGTTTCTTTCTGTAGTCCTGACTGTCCTGGAACTAACTCTGTAGACCAGGCTGGCCTCAAACTCATAGAGATCCACCTCCCTCTGCCTCCCGAGTGCTGGGATTAAAGGCGTGCACCACCACCACCCAGCACAGCAATGAAAGTTTAAAGTACCTGACTTATTTTATAATAAGAGATTCTTTCCAAATTCTTATTAAAAGTATAAAACTTTATTAGTTTCCATATACTAAATCTACTAGCAAAGTGAACACTTTTCTCCATCTTTTGACTTCACATAGTAGAATATATGATATGTAAGGTCATCTATGCATAAGGACTTAGCTCCTTAGCTAACATACATCCAGTTGGTAATATAAAGGTAGGTTTATATATACCTCGTACTCAGTGAGTATTCCAAGAAAAGTTAAGCATTTACATTAGTCACATGATTGTTGCTTTAGTGAAATGCCACTTACATACATATATACAGACTCCGGTATGTAGATTCAGAAAGACCATTGATGTGTCCAGAGAACCATTGGAAGTGATCATTAATCCTTTTTATTGCTCATAGGGAGCTGGGATGCACTTTGCTTTCTACTGAATGACTTCAGTTCATATTCAGGAAAGTTATTTATTAACAGCTTCGTTGAATTAGTGAAACGAAAAGTCCCAATCTTGTTTTATAAATGACATTTCTTTATTGTAGTTTGAAAATTAATTCTGTATTTTATCCTTTGCCTTTCGTTTAGTGATTTCTTAGTGCCGGACTACTTAAACCAGGAGCAAGAAGAGACTCTTGTTCAGTATGATCTTGGAGAACACACTTTTGAAAGCAACTCTTCTGTTCAAATGCCTGTGATTTCACAGGTCTCCTCAACCCAGAATTGTGAAAGCTCTTTCCCCTTGGGGTCTCTTGGTGGGCTTGCAGAAAAGGAGGAGGAGGTGCAAGAGCAACCAGAGACCAGTGCTCATGCTGAGGCCCCCAGAGAAGACCCCCCTAAGTCAGAGCTGGCTTCTATAACTGTCGAGTGATTCTGTGATGTGGCCGCCTCGGGTTTGGTTTTTGGAAAGTGCCTGTGCTTGGTCTTATATGTTTAAATTTAATTTTTCAAACAAAGAAGAGTTCCCTTTGTAAGCCCTGAAATTGGAGGGTTGCTTTGTTTTGATTTTTTCATAGCTGAGAGATTGCTTCTGTATGTGTACAATAAGGTAGCATTGAAACAGAACATAAACTCTGAGACTTAAGGAAAAGCAGCTGATTGCAAATGTGGCAGTTCTTCCTCCCATTGTTAAAGGTGGGCAGCAGCAGATACAGAAGAAAGCAGGTTGTTGTTGACCTTCCTGAGATGAGAGGGCTCATTGGAAGTTTCTAAACAGAATTTGACAATGCCTAAGTAAATGTTTACTCCTAGATGCAGGGTGTTATAAACCCTGTAGTTTTGGAAGTATTTATGGTAATTTTTTTTCAAATGAAGGTAAATAACTTTTGAAATCCAGCATATTCTTTTTTTAAGCCATTATGAATTTTCATGGTGAAAAATTGGTATCGGGCAGGCATTTCCTGTACCTTTATAGTACCACTCCAAAGGCTAAGAGGTGTGACTGAGAGGAGTCAGGCTGTGCATGGAGTAGCCAGGGTGCAGAATGAGGTATGTATACCCCAGCTTTATAGGAATTGTTTTAATACTGTTTTTCTTACTAGAATGAATGTTTACCTGGCCTTTGAATGCTGATACCTGACTAACTAGGACATTGCCCAGATTAAGTGTCCTCTTGTCCCATCAACAGTACTTTCACTTGCATATACTATTGTGCTGCCATATAAAAGAAAAATATTGAAGATATTCTATATTTTATATATAGGTTTATGTATTGTTGGGGATGTTTATGCTGTACTGTTTTGGACAAAATAAAAGAATTCTGTTTTGAGGCTACATTCTTAACCCAATTAAGATTGTTTACAAGATCACATATGACAACAGTACATTGTCCTTATTCTGAAATATTTTGAGGTATTGCCAAGTTTGTTAAAAACTGTTATAGTTTTCACAGGATGTAAGCAATAATGTGAAAGATAAAAGGTTGTAAATGATCACCTGTGACTCAGAAATTGGGGGAGGGACATGTTGTAAAGATTAAAATCTAAAAACTTTGCTACTCAAATGATGAAATTTATATAGTAGTCTAGATTGGGATATACTTTTTTTTTAATCTGGTGCCATCAAAGCCTCTTTGATCTGAAATATTCATGAGTCCGTGAATAATAAACTTTTGAGTAATTTTTCTATATAGAAAATCACCTTAAGGTTCATCATTATGATTGCTCCTGATGGGGTTAGAAAATAGAAACAACATATGTTTTTTGTTTGACGTTGAATACTTTATTCTGTTTTGTGACAGGATCATATGTAGCCCAGGCTGGCCCAGAACTCATGATCCTCTTGCCTCAGTTCCCCGACAGCCCTTGCTAGCATGATATATTATAGACACATGTCACCACAATCAAACTATAGTTCTTAGTCAGAAACATGATCTGAATTTTATTCCAATGCCAGACCTTACTTTTTACATTATAGTAACTTGTTTCTTTAAAGTTTATTAATTCTGCAGTTTAATTTCTCTCTTTCCCTGTCTCTCTTTGTGCATATTCTCCTACCTTATTTCTACTTTTTTCTTAATCTCAGTATTGAGAATTGAACCGGAGACCTTATCCATTATTTGCACATGGTCATTCACTGAGATACAACCCTAGCCTTTATTTCCAGTTCTTCATCTGACTCAGGAGCTCATTTGCTCCCCAGCATAAGTGTGTGACTTTCAGAAAAATCAACTAGGAATGTCAGTAATTTTTATTTTAATGTCATATATGATCTTTTAAACTGTGCCTACTAATAGAGGAATTCTAAAACTCATATTAGAACCCTATTTTAAGTATGGTAAGGACTAGGTTAAATTATGATCAGAAATTACGGTTTGGGTTCCAAGTTTTGTTTTTATTCTGTTAAGAGTCAGAAAAAAAGAAAAGGAAGAAAGAAATAAGAATCAACCAGAGATGAGCTGTTGAAGAATTCTTTTCAGATTCCTTGGTTGAAAGTGTTTCGGTCTACCCTATCTTGAGAATTGTTGAGTTAGGACGTCCCTGGCAGTCCCTGTGAAGGACACTCCTCACTGTGGATTTTCATTGCTGATGACAAATCTTGTAGCCATCCTCTATGAGTGATCTGAATATACCATGAAAACACATACGGTTAGTTGCCCACTGCCCAAATCTTTTTTTATAAAGGTGCCTGACCAGTGTTTAATATAAAGTGATACGAAGGCCTTTTTCTGTTCCATTAAGACTCCACATTTGTGAGGACATTTGTCTATGGGCCTGTTATAGGAAACACAGCTGCAAGAGATAATTGTATATATAGTAACATTTAAGGTTTATTTAAAGTTGATATAAGAGAGGAATGCCTAGATGTATACTTTTCACCAGAATATATGGAAAACATTGTGAAGAGGTGAAGCCGATCACGATCCCTTCCATAGAAGCCACCAGGGTAGCTAAACAGAAAAGCATCCTTTATTAAAGGATATCTATCTTTTGTAAGGCCTAAGGGTAACTTTGTGATATTTAAAGGGCTTAACTTTTAGTATGCAGGATAAATTACTTTTTAAAAAGCTTTTTAAAAAGCATTTGCTTTTTAAAAAGCATTTTATACAAGAAAAGCTTTTGTTTTCAGTTTTTTCCCAACTACCAAACAGAAAGGATGTGCTTTAGAAAGAAAGTTTTTGCCGTGATATTGGGTCTAGCTGCTCTTGTCACACTTTACATTTCCAAATTCTGGCCTTGGGAGCTTCGCATCAGTGATTCTGCTGACACAAGGACAAAGGTGACAGTGGCTTTCACTTTGTGCATTTAAAATCTTTAGTGTTGCTATCCACAGATGTGTTTCAGTGACTTTCTCTTAATCGGCCATTTTAAATAATCCCAATTTTTATTTCAAGTAACTGCAATTCATTATATTGCTAGGTCACGTTTTTTTTTTTTTTGTTTGTTTGTTTTGTTTTTTTTTTGGTGGGGGTTGGTTTTAAGTTTACAATTTTGTTAAAACAAAATTAACTAAAATGTCTAAGTGGCCTCATTTTGGTCTTATGAACATTCTAACACCCTTAAATAGGTTCCATGTTAAGATACATGCCCTTTGTTATTAAAGACCAACAAACAAAAATACTTGTATTTTGTTAAAATGTTTTATAAAATCAACTGAAGTGGTCAGTGCCTCTGATGTGCTGAGACATTGGTAACCCAGTTACTGGCTAAACTGCTGAGCCAGGCTCTCCTCTTCTAGAAACTCAGCCCGTTCCTTTGGAAGCTCTGTTAAGTCGTTCACTCCTTTCAAAAACAAAAAAAACCAAAAAACTCCTACTTTATTCTCTTAATCTGATAGGATCCACTTAGGCAGTTAGTGACGTCTGTATAGATTTTCAGAATCAGCTTTAGTCTGTTAGCTTTGAATTTCCTATAAGGTACATTACCATACAGTGTTATGGTAGATGGCAATTCTCTACTAGTGTCACAGAGAATTGTTTCTTAGGATGACAAATGAACAGTCCTGATATTTTAACTGAGGAGATTGTGATTTGTGGAGTAATGACCAGGCAGATTGGAAACTTCCATTGGTACTGCATCACTCACCTGCCAAAAGGGCCTTAAAACTCTGAAGTGCACAGCTGAGTGACAGAGTGATTTCCGAGTTCTTAACTAGGGGTGGGGGAAGGAATCAGGGAAGTTCACACATGGAACAAGCAGCCCAGAGGTGGGGGAGGAAAATGGGTTTTCACGGTAAGTTGTTGACATCGGATGCTTTTTCTATTTTGATAGTTACAAAGAGGATGTGTAGAAGCCAGGAAGCAGTGGAACAAAGTTGAGGAAGCAGAGACTTTATTGTCACTAAACTCGGGTATTAAGTGAGGTCATTAAAATTAATACTTTAATTTTTGTTTATGCTAGTATTTATCTCTCAGTGTCATTTTTGACAGAATGTGGTGACATGGAATATTTTTATTTGAAAAATCCTCACAAAGCAATTTGCCAAAATGGTAATGGTTCAGATAAACAGTGAAGTAGAAATGAGCCAGTCCTCATACAGGCTGGGAACAGGCTATGGGTATCACATTCTGGATTACACAGAGATTAAGATTTTTGCTGTGGCCCAGAAGAGTTGAACTGTGAACAGAATGGTAACCAGCTACCACCAGGAGTTGCACTTTTTATTTGTTAGTTTGTACTAAAGTGATGTTAGATGTTTCCCCTATATCATCATTCTGTTTTTATGATAGAAAAGGATAGTTCCATGATTTTGGAAATAGTTGCTGTAGCAATTTGAGACAGTGTGTTGGAACCTTGGCTTTGGCAGTATCTGAGCAGCAGGAGCCTTCCCTTGTTTCCGTGACTGAATAAGACCCAGGCCAGCACCAGTGGACACAGGCTTCCTGTGCACATAAATTTACAAAGAACTTAGTTCAGACCATAATTGAAAACATGAAAGTTAATGATTTTATTAATTGAAAATCGAAATAAAAAATTAAAGAAAAGTTTAAAATTCAGTTTTTTATTTTATTGTAGTGCCTAGTTTATAAAGTCAAATCCTTGATTTCTTTCTCTCTTAAGTTAATCAAGTTTATTAAGCCTAAAGCCCAGGGCTCAGTTGTGATGACTTACTGGTAAAACCACTGATAATCATTTAAGGAGCTATAGTGTCGTGACTTTTACTAAACTCCTTTGTTTTCTCACATGCCAGTTTGACCATACCTAGAGCTTGAAAACTCATCCTGGGAGTGAATGTTGGTTACCACATTGCATCAGCTGCTGAGGAGTCAGCCTCCTGTTGTGTCTTTTCTGTGACAAGTGTGTGAGTGTGCTGTCTCTGGGTTTGTCATTTTAGGTAGTAGTTTTCAGCTGACAGATGTTATGGAAGGTCTCTCCTACTGAGAGTACATTGATTTGGAAAGTTGCACTGCTTTTCTGTTCCCTGGAGTAACTGGCATCGGGTGTTTAGAAGTGAGATCATAAACTTTGTTGTTTTACTTATACAAAATGATGGCTTCTGATGCTTGCATTTGAGGTATTGTTTAAAGAAATAGCAGTCCTTGATTGGGTAGAATTTGGCTTTGACCCAAGTTCCAGTGATGTATTTAGTTTGCTGATACGGGTGTGTCCTGTTGCATCAGCTAGATATTGCCTGCCTCTTTGTTAGGCACCCTTGTGGCACCTTATGTTCAACCTGAAGGATGGTATGTGGCCTCTTTGTGCCTCTGCTGTCTTTTCAAAAGCCATTTTATAAAAATCTTAGGTAGCCTATTTTAATATTTAAATATATATATTTGTGAAAGATACTTTTAGAACAGACCTTTTTTTTAACATTAAAATTCCCGTATTCCCATTTTTAAGAGTAAACTAAAGCTTTTCCAGGCTTAGGAAGTATGTTTTTTCAGAGCTGTAATAAGAAAGTCAGACTGAGGTGAGAAACCGGAAAGTTCAGTGATAGGGAAAAGATGTCTGCTGAGGGGAGACAAATTTAAAAGTGAAAATAATTGCTTTGATGGGACATGAATTTTTAAAATAAAATTGTGGGTTTTGTTTCTGTAATTTCATATTTGCTGCTACAGTAGCTCACTATTTTACAGGCAGGGCTAATATATAAATCTGGCTCCATTTAAAAGCTGGGGTCTTTTCTGATAGAAGCAGCTTAGAAAGAGACTGCACCTGCCTGCCAACCAGCGGCGGCAGGTGTCCATGTAGCTGATGCATGCTTTAATATTTGCCTGTAGCTGGCAGCCCGGAGGTCAGGGAAGCTTCCTACCCTGCCAGCTAGAGCAGTGCGGCTCTTGGGGAACTGGCACCTGTGAAACAGGCCCAAGAGGGGACTTGTGAGGAGAAACTGTGGATGGAGTTAGACGGATGGCTGTTTCCGTGTCCCTGCCCCTCTCCCAGAACAGTACTCCATCCCCAGTTCACCAGCTCTGTACCAGCCGTCATCGTCATCGCATTCAAGTTTAGCTTTACTTGGTGACAGTGGCCATAGCTAAAGTACTTGGCATGTTTGACTTCCTACAATAACAAAATGGTCTTAAATTTTGTTTTGTTTGATTTCCTTAAAAAATGTATACAGTGTCATAACTTCACATTTTATATACTAGTATCTGACTATTAGTATTTTACAGAAACCATGGTTCTTGGTGACTACATATATATATATATTTTTGTGACTTTTTTGTAAACTAAGTGCCGTTTCAACGTTACAATCATTTTTAGAGTTATTGTAATCAATGTGAATATCATGTTTTTTCAAATCTGTTCTGAGCCTAGTGTTTGCTTTGTGAACATATGTGTATTGTATATATTCTGTATAGTTAATACTGTACTGAAATATTAGCTTGTTTGATATGAGAAAAGTATGTATTGAGTACCTTTTTGCTAGCCTGATTGCTTAATCTTTTTTAAAAAAGATTTAAAAAAAATTTTTTTTAAATCTTTAAACTGGCCTTTATTACATGGTCACAAATAAAGTTGCAGTTAGAAGGGATGCACAGGGAAAAATTAGTCTTGAGTGTCTTTGGATAGAAACATGAGACTAAGACTTGTTTTTTGTTTTTCCTCATTAAAATAACTTACTGGTGTTTTATGAAATAAGTTTTTCTGCTGTTGTCATTGACTGTTGGCTAGAAGGAGGAACTGGTTATTGAGTGTGTGCAGACTAGAGACTGTGACAGTGAACAGCATCTGTCGGTGCTCCAGAGTACAGACCCTATCACACCAGGCTCAGGCCCAGGCGGGAAACGTAAAGAGGGCAGTTGGGGAAGCCATCAGGTCTGGGAGCTAGGAGCCAGGATTCTGGATAAAGCTACTCACTGGATGGTGGGTTGCCTCTTTTTTTTTTTTTTTTTTTTCTGAAATTTCCTATTAATATATATTTAATATTGACTAGATAGAGACACATTGCTGCCATTTCAGTGGTGACTGATGAATGGAGTCAGACAGGTGGGAAATAGGAAAGCAGCTCGTTGCAGAAGTCGTGTGCCTGTGCAAGCGTGAAAGGGACCGCAGAAGAAAGACTGTTCAGCTCAGCCAGCCAGGGCCATTTTAGTCAGTTGGGTCCAGAGGCAGGTTTTAAGAAGTGCTTTGGTAGTGGGCATCTTTTTTTTTTTTTTTTTTTTTTTTTTGGTTTTTCGAGACAGGGTTTCTCTGTGTAGCTTTGCGCCTTTCCTGGGACTCACTTGGTAGCCCAGGCTGGCCTCGAACTCACAGAGATCCGCCGGCCTCTGCCTCCCGAGTGCTGGGATTAAAGGCGTGCGCCACCACCGCCCGGCGGTAGTGGGCATCTTTAACAAGTTTATCCAATGTCTAAGGTCAGCAAACTGGTTCCTTGGCATCCTGAGCCATAAATGATAGGGCAGAGGAAAGATTCAAAATGATACTAAAAGCAGTAACCAAAGACACCTCTTCTAAATTAGTTAGGATAAAATTAATAACTTGAGCCTTCTCTGTTATGAACAAGAAAGTTTATTCTAAGAAATAAACAGAGAAAGCAAATTATAAACATACTAAACTTTAAAGGAGGGGAGGTGTACATAAATCTAGCCTCAGAATTTAATGTGATTTTTTTTTATATCAATAAACTTCACAAATGTGAGAACAGAGGTAAGTGTGTTTGATCTAGAAGCACTCCTTCCTGCAGACTGCTCTGTGACCAGAGTTGGAACCCGCCTGGACAAGAAGAGCTGCTCTTGCGGCCGCTCCTGTTCCCTTCGGTTCTGATTAGCGTACTTAAATATTAAAGTATTTGTACTTCATAAATAGGAACAGATCATTGCAGAGGCCATGAGCAGAGTTGGCAGAACTTCCACGCAGGACCCCCCATTTGTCAGTCCCTGCCTAATTTTTCCCACGGTCATGGTTTTAGCCGCCTTTTTTTTTTTTTTTTTTTTTTGAGACAGGGTTTCTCTGTGTAGCTTTGGAGCCTGTCCTGGAACTCACTCTAGCCTACGCTGACCTTGAACTCACGGAGATCCGCCTGCCTCTGCTCCTGAGTGCTGGGATTAAAGGCATGTGCCCCCACCGCCTGGCTTAGCTGCTTTTTTACACGTAAAAATTACTAGCAGTGTACAGCAGGCCCTAAGACAACACTGCATTCTAGCGATAGAAGAAGAAAAAGTCACCATCTCCTCATACAAGGAACAGGCCCTTCTTTGCTTGCTTTGTATTTACACCCCACTCCGAGTTTCCCTTCTGTTTCTGTTTGAAGCATTGACTTCCTTTCCAGCGTCTCTGGCTGTTTGGGAGACTTTACTGTACTACCTTTACAGTATGACGTGGTACCTTTGGCTTTCTCCCCAGTCCCCAATCCTAGGTCCTTTTGCTAGATTTACTGGAAGTCATTTACTGAATGAGTAAGTCTCATTTACCAGAGAACTTGAAAACTTGGGCAGGATCAATACTCGCCCGCCCACGTCCATGCACAGCTAGTGTGCAGCCAGCCTCGGGAGTCATCTAGAGATCATCCATTGGGAAGTTGCTGTAGGAGACAACCAAATAAAGAGCCCAGACTCTAGATTAAATTGGGGGCAAAGGCAGAAATGCTGTCTCGGTGATCCATACATATGTACATAGTAGGATCCTGCAGTAGAACTCTGTTTTACAGCGGGCTGGCCCTGAACTCACTGTAACGTAGACTGGCCTTTAATCCTTAGGACAGCTGCTCTTGGCCTGGTCAGCGGTATCTCGAACTTCCTATAACCCCGTGTGTGCAGTTTTCCTCCTACTCTCGAATGGGATTTCCTTCCTTTAACAGAATGTTCGGGATTTTCATTACTTGTCATTGACAACCGCCCTACTCACCTATGGGTTGCGGGCCCTTGGCTGACTGGATGAACCCTCCATCTTTTGGAGGCAGTGGCTTCAGAAATGAAAAAAAAGACCAGAGGAACACCAAAAAAGGCTGGAAATTGGAGGAGCACCCTGACTGAAGGGACAAGGAAGAGTATGGGGAGGAGCTAGCACTTCAGTGGCTCTTGAGAAAGGGGTTTGTATAGACGAAGAAGGGAGAGTGCTTCAGTGAAGGGAATTGAGGAGAGGAGGATTGTGTTAAAAGCTTGGCAGGGGCCAAGCCAGAGACATTGTGAGGAGCTCCCAACACCTACTCAGAATCCCAGCACCTAGGAGTTCAGTGCTGGCCTGGGACTTTCTGAGGCCCTGTCTCAAAAAAAGAAGGAAGAATAGAACTGTGTTTGGTAGGAAGACTGATAACATTAAGTGAGCAAAGGCCAGGGTCAGAACTCTGTAGAAAGGTTAAGAACAAGATCTGAGAGAAGACAGGCTTTGGTGAGTCCCTCGGAGTTCAACTTAGAACCTAACAGACGGTGAGAGAAGAGCTGCCAGAGAAGCAGCAGCTTAGGGGGTGCCAGAAAAGTGGGCTTGAGCATGAGTGCAAGTCTGGTCCTCAGCAGTGAGGAGTACCTGCTATGTCCATTCCACTGCTCAGGGAAACTGTCCAAAATAAAGCAAAGTAAGAAAGAATGAGTTCTGACTGGGAAACTGCAAGGGGACCACGGCACAGCTTAGAGCTAGAGTGCACGCTCACATGCCAGCGCCCCCAGGTGTGATCCCCATCGCTGCCGGTCAGAGGATGAGCTTGCATCGGGCTGAGGAGTGTCCCTCCTTAGAACGGCTGTGCAACGTTTAGCTTGTTATCAATGGACTTGCTTTCTAGCAGAATTCATCTGCTGAGCCAAGTTCATGCGATTGGGTATTCCAGGCATTCTCTGTGGTTTGTAAGTCATCTGCTGATAAGCATTGGACAACCCAAAAAACAGGTGTGGTGTTGGGCATGCAAGCTGGAGTCATCCTGGGATGATGGGGAGCAGGGACAACAATTAAAAAAAAAAAAGGTGGAGGGGGGAGGATATGTGCTGAAGGAAAACATGTTGGTAGGCTGAGGGAGGTCAGGTGACGAAAGGAGCGTTAACTAAAGTCCCTAAGGAGGAGATAAAGGCAGCCAGCTTTAATCTGTGACCAGGAAGGTAGGCATCAGAACAAAAGCTAAAAGCAGACATTGCCGAAGAGATTGAGAATATGAAACAGAATGACAGTGGGAGTTGGTTTCCAGACTCCCATGTCTTCCTGCACAGATTCAGAAGCTTGTTCTCCTGAGAACAAGCCACTAAGTTTACTCAGTCAGGCACTTACAGCATTACAGGCTTAGTTTTTTGAAGAGCCGAACCTTGTTCTCAATATCGAATTTTTTTGTTTTACCAGCATTAAAATGTCATTTAAAATACTCTGCAGGCTGGGGATATGCTCAGTTCTAGAGTAGCATGGTCAGGGCAAGACTTCTGCATGTCAAACATATGCCTTGGTACAGGACCAATGGCTAAGTAAACCCGACTGCTAGTCCCAGAATGCACACGTGTGCATCCCTCCCGAGCCTGCGCTCCCCTCATCCAGTGGACATGAAGCAGCTTTGTACAGCAAGTTGACCTGACTGCCTGGGAAGAGCTGCAAAGGACTGAGGTTCAAGCAGGAGACTGACTCTGTAAGTTGAACATTGCTCCACGTCCCCAGGCCATGCTGCCACACTTGTGGATTCTCTAGAGCTGGGGTCCACAACATCCCACTTATGTGTGACTCTGGAGAATTCCAACCTACCATGTGGGCAAACTCATATAATGGGTTTCCACAGATTTACTTTGGACTGAACTGCATACTGTAAGGATCCCATAATCACATCTTCACACACTTCCATGTGTACATGTAATAATTCTCTCCGTGACAAGTAGCCAGAACTGAGGAAGAAGGGCCGCCCTAATTGAGTCCTCCCATGGCCTGGCAGTGCTGCTGAACTGTTATTAGGCCCATGCAAGGCCCCCCTCACAGGTCAGACTGTGATGGGACACTGCCGCAGTCCCTGGACCAAAAGCCTTAACCAAGCCTCAGATCAGTCCACACCTAGTGAGTCCGTCCGTCCTTTCTCAGGGTTCCCCATGCAGTCATCTGCAGCACGCTTTCCAGTCACACTTCCACTTTGCCTTTGGCTCTAAGTGCCTACATGAGTTAAGCATTCCACAATGTGCTCTCCCTCCACCAGGACCCTCCTGCCCAGTCCTTTCTTGCCCCTGCTTCTAGTATGTGCTGTGGGTGTTAAGAGTTCCCACTGGCAGCGGGGAGAATGAGCAGGGCAAACACCAAGCAGCTCTTCTGCCCAACTCCCCTCTGTGGGCAGAGGGAACCTGCACAGCTCAGTCCTGATGGCTCCAGGGTCCTGGGGTGTGGCCTTCTGCCTGGTACCTGCGGAGGCCGGAAGAAGGCATTCAGTCTCCTAGAACTGGAATTACAGATGGTTGTGAGCTGTCATGTGGGTGCTGGGAATTGAACCTGGGTCCTCTGGAAGAGCAGCCAGTGCTGTTAACTGCTGAGCCATCTCTCCAGCCCTTAATTAACATACTAGTTGCACAAAATAGTGACTTTACTGTAACATTTGCACATATGAATATGCCTTGTTCATTGTCACAATTTCTCATTCTCCCTTTATCTCACCTCCATACATCCCTCTCCCTGGCCCATAATAGTCTCTGTTTTAAGGGCATCTTATTTTTCTTTTCAAATGTAAAGATACATGTCCTTTTAATCTAAAGTAT